GGTATATAGATAGATATAGATAGATATCTATCTCTATCTCTCGCGCTCTCTCTCTCTCTCTTTCTCTGTGTCTGTTTGTGTGTTCTATTTGGGGCGTAAGAGAGATAGCGATAACACTATAAAAATAGAAAAAAAATAAGAATAGAAACTATAATTAATGAGAGAGTGTAAGTGATAAAATTATATATATAAATATATATATATATATATATATATATATATATATATATATATATATATATATATATATATATATATATATATATATATTTTTATATATATATATATATATATATATATATATATATATATATATATATATATATATATATATATATATATGTATATATATATATATTTTAACATAAATGATAAAAAACAAACATTAGATTGCTACTACGAAACAAACATTAGATTGGTCAAAACGCTCGGAGTGTTATAAAATAAACATGGCGTTCTTCTGCAGACGCAAACAAAGATCCCATTTTAGCCAGAGACTAGATCGTGACTGTGTCCAAATTAGTCAACAGGGGAGTCGGTTTCAATAAGCAATCGTTTTATTACAAAGTCTTTAGCTAATTAAGTTGATTATATTCCGTCGTGTAAATTAAGCCCATATTTTAGGCTATTATTAGAAGCAGTTCAAATATTTTTAGTAAAAGAAGCCACAAATTTGACGTTTTAATCACGGATGATTCTTCCAATGCCAGCTTGCCCTAGTTTGATCGTGAAGCACCGTCAATTGTTGATTGTATACCAATTAGGGTTCCATTGAAGTTGGAGAATTGGATAATTCGGTTTTTTACGTTGCTCTTTATTACAGATTCCTTACTTGTTGGCCAAGTTCCACTTACGTTCTGAGCAAATTATTCGTTTCTTTTCTAATATAGCTTCATTTGGCGCTTTCGGAATTCGCCAAAATAAAGTCACCACGTGTTCTGGCGATGTTATTGATGCTTTTAATAAGATTATAAAGGTAACTGAAGAAATCTAATATTTGAACAACACAATATACGTCTTAAAAACCATCAGTTCTAGATTCCAATAATCTAAACCCGGTGAAATTTATTTTATGTATACTTATGTGAATTTAAATTTTTAAAAATCCATATGAAAATAAATTACTATTATACTGATACCCTAATTAAAAAAAAAAAAAAAAAACTAGTAACTTGACGCCGCGATGCACGCCTTTCTTTTGTTAGTAAGATGTATAAATAGCAAAATTATAAATTTAGTATTACAATTTGTCAAAAATCACTGTAAGGTTTTTGGTGTTTTTTTTTTCAAGTACAAGTTGATGATTGATCATTTGTGAGTCATTTTATATAATTGCTCGGTAGTTTTTGAAAATATCAATCGACTCTAGGCGACCAATTTGGAATTCAGTTCCCGAGTTTGCAAACAAATATTTATTTTGTTATTTCATGAAGTATTTTAAATGTCATAATAAAATAGAACTGGACCAAACCAATATTTCAAAAAAACTGTTCAATAGAACTTTTAATATTTATAAAAGTATATTTAGACTACAAAATTGATGGGAATGTTCTTTTAAATATTTAAATATATATCTTAAAACAAATTATTTTAGAAGAAGTAAAAGAAATAACTATGGGTGACAATTGGTTGGAACGGACCGGAAATGACTTTTTCGGAAACTCTTCAATTATTTTCGGTAGTTAAAAATTGGTTCGAATTTCCATTTCAAATAAGTCGGAATTCAAAAATTTATTCCAATTTCGGCATGCCTCAGAAATTTTTTAAAGTTTTTGAAAATTGCATTTCGTTATATTATTTATGTCCTACTTCGGAAATAATCCATTTTTTTTAAAGTGTAATTAATATCTCATGTACTAAATTGTCAGAATATACTATAAACCTAACAAATAAAAACCAAAAGTACCAAATCATCTACTGCAAGTCAGCTATAGTGTTCTCAAATGGAAAAAAGAAAGAAGAGTGTGGCTGATGATACAAAGTTGTAGGGTTACAAAAGATTGCTAGGGTTTAAGTTAACTAGACAAAATATGATACAAAATGGGTTGCTTGATTTTAGTTAATTGGGCCCCAACCTCTCTCTCTCTCTCTCTCTCTCTCTCTCTCTCTCTCTCTCTCTCTCTCTCTCTCTCTACACAATCTCTCTCGCGGGCTTGGGCGCTCGGTGGGTGCTTTTTTTTTTTTGTGTTTTTTTTTTTTTTTTT